ATATAGGCATCAATTTGTAATACTGCAGATTTCTGTATTAATTTACTAAATGTAATTACTCAAAAATGTAATGGTTAAGTTTGTATGTTGCCTACATATTAAAAACAACCTTGGTAGAACACAAGCTGTCCTTTACCAAGTTTGTTTGTTATAAAATTGCACCTTGCAGCTTTGTGTGTTGTTAATTTATTTTTCAACATTAGATCAACACATCAGGACCAAATCAAGGATTTTCAAGACGTTCATAAAGTTATTCTAATCCAACAGATCCAAACAAAAATATCAAAAATAATATTTTCTAATATATTCTAATTGTCCAAATATGATTGTTTGCACTCTACTTTAACACTGGATTTTGCTATAAACCATAGATATATTTGAATGAAACGTGTCTATGAATATTTTTTGCATGAACTTTAACTTTGAAATTTTTTAACTGTTGCCCCGCCTCTTAATTCTCAAACCTCGTACTTTAAATTCCTCTTTATGGGATGAAGGAACATTGCGCTTTGCGAGTTACCCATCACGTGTTGGTAGGTGGCGTGTGCCACAGTTTGACTGGTGAACAGTTTGCCAGAATATACCCTGTATAATATAAATATAAATTTATTTATTTGTTTTTGATTTTCTTTCAGGAGCTGGGGTCCCACGGGTGAAGGATCTTTTGTGGTGGTGGTGTTGCTCCAAGGTTTGCTGTGGGACACTTTTGAAGTTTTTGGGTGTGTGATCTGAGTGCACGGTGGTGCGTGTGGAAGTGTGCTTTTGGATAACTTGTGCTGGTGATCACTCCTGTGGGTAACCTCAGCCCTGTAGGTTGGTGTAGTTTTTGTTTATTTTGAATTGTGTAAAAAAAAAAATCTGTAACGTGTTTATCTGTGGTTGTGCTTTCTTTTTGTTTGTGTATTTTCTTTTTGTGAAGTGTCATTAGAGAGAGAGCTGCCAGGGGTGGCACAGTATCATCGAGGCATTTTGAATGCTTTTTAAAAATTTTATCTGTGTGAATAAATGTTGTATTTTTATACGAACCCTACATTTCCTGCCTACCTTTTATTAGAGACGCGAACCTGTGTGACCTAATAACAAATTTTGGGGTTATTTCTATTTTCCTGGGTGAAACTCACACCGCACTGAAAGTGCAATTTACTAAACCGTTAACACAGCTATAAAAATATATAAGGGGGTCACATGTAAATTCCCAGAGCAAGCAAACTTCAGTGGAAAGTGGAGAAAGAAGAAGAATGAGAAGAGTGGAGGGAGGGAGTGGGAGGAGAAAGGTATAGAATGAGAGGAGGATGATGAAAAGAGGGGAGAGCTAGAGTGGAGGGTGTTGATATAGTGGAAAAAGCAATTATAAGAAGACATGATCAGAGAGGAAGAGGAGAGAGAGCGAATGTGTAACTCCTTCAACCATTCACAGCATTAGTCAATACTGCCTGAAGATGCTGAAATATTAGCCAGAAACACATCAGATATGAGGGTATGAGTCTATTTTCATCATGATGCTTTATTTTCAAACAGACTGCATGTGATAGTTGTGTCATGAAGAGTGTTTCTCTCCACGATGAGGCCCATTTCAGTCAGAATGAGGACCTACAATTCAGTGTGATTGTTACTCATGTTACTGGGGTTGATTATCCAGTAATTCAGTATAATGTTTGATCACACAGAAGTGCTGAGTAAAATGTAAGGTTACCAAAATGTAATGCAAAACTTACCATCATTAATGTAGCACTAGGATCTTCTCTGTAAAAAGAGTAATGGATTGAATAATAACATGCCATGAAATTATACTTCATTGTTCTGGAATAGACATGTCACTGGTTTGCTCTCTTCTCACAGACCTGTTGTTTTTGACTTGTAGTAAATGAATCCAGCAGCTGCTATGATGATCCAGCAGCTCCAGCAGTGAATAACAGCGGTGTATTCCACTCAAACTCAAGCAGAGGAGGGTCACACATCACTCTATCATCACAGTATTTACTCTCAGAAATGCATTTTGTTTAGCAGGTCAAGGTTTGACAACTGGACAATTCCCATATTATTTTTAATAGATGCTATACTGGTATGTCATGTGCAAAGGCAGGTCTGATATGATGAGTCTTCTCTCTTACTCCAGTCATAGATCATGGGTTTGGTGAAGCCAGCATGCTCCACCATACACGAGATCTTCTCTGCAGCTTTGGGAGTGTACTCCAGCTTAGTGTGAATCTGGTGGTACCAGTCTCTGTTAGGCATCTTCTCAGTGAAGGTCACGTCAGAAGTCACCACTACACCTCAGCCAGGACACACTGAAGTCATACGCACTGCACATCAGCAGCGATGGGTGTCTGCTGTCTCCCTGCTTCACTAAACTCAGCTTCACCTGTGGCGCCACTGAACCAGGAGGAGCAACAATTATATCTTACAATATATATATTTCCATTATATGCAATACACCATTTTAAAATGTGTTTTATTTTAGCTAAATATTTTCCTTTATAAAGAAGAAAAATGTTTAAAACGAGCTCTGTGTGAGTCTTGAGTCACATACCTGCTTTATCATGGATAGCTGTTTTGTACAGTACAGCATTATGTTTGCAGACTCTCTCAACTTCAGCCTTTAATTGCTGTAACAATGCTGTATCTTTGTTCAAGTTCTCTGCAGTTCTCACTCCAACCTCAGTAAACCCCACAAACTCCCCCACAGTGCTGTTGAACTGTACGTACAGATATTTATTGAAGTAATAGTCAATCAAGAAGACCATGTCACTGAAATCACTGGAGCTGTAGATGCACTGTGACCAATAGTAGTTATAATATCCATTAGCTGGAAAACAATTAAAAAAAAAACACAAGCACTTGAACACATCAGCCAGTTGTTGTTATTAATAGAATGTCCTTTCTAAAACATCATGTTCATATTATTAATATATCTGTACCTATACTTTACTACATTGGAGGTTCCACTAGCAGAGAACCATCCTAACTAACAGCATTTAAGAAAATATTGCTGTTAAATCTTACCAACACTGTTAATACCAAAAACACCAATATATCCATACCACTACTACTACTATTACTACATTTCTCTCACCTACTACTACTATTACGCCCATTTGTCTCGCCTGCGCCGGTGAATACAGACAGCAGGAGAATGTGATGGAGACTCCAGAGCTTTGGCACTGACATGATCACTGTGACCATCACAACTGAGAGCAGACAATACTCTGTTCATGATGAAGAGATGAGGGTCTAAAACAACTGTCCAATCAGACACTGTTTGCATATGTGTCACGTGTTGCTGAGCAATATCCTGCTTTCATTTTTAAATCACGCTTCAAAAAATGTAAATAATGGTTTGATTAAACATAATGACCTTTTTACTTACATTCCTGGAAAAAGAACTGCAAGCTTCCAACAACCTCTCCAGTTTTGGAGGACACAAACACTTTTCTTTATTTCTTAAATCCATGTTAACACTCTATAATAACTATCATGATTAAATCATTAAAATGTGACCAGGAATGGTCTTAGGGGAACATTTAGTTGTCTGGGAACCACACTGGTAACTAGTTCCTATAACAACCCGGGCTGCGTTCCACTTCCCTTTTAGACACGCACTCGTGATCTTCCATAAGCACTACTCTCAGGTGAATCCCCGCTGCCTTTTTGAAGTGTGTTCCACTTCGTGAAGTGAACGTGGGAAGTTTATATGGACAGACCCCCACCTCAAACAACTCTGTGATATATGAATATCTTTTATATATTTAAAACAGCCCAAACAATATCTGTATACATGATGCTGCATCAAACTAATTCATAAGGGAAAAATGGTAATAATAATTCAACTCCTTATCAGATTCCAAATGATCAAGGTGATCAACTGATCAGCCAGTAGTGGACACTTGTGCAACAAAATCAGTGACGTACGTCTGAGTCCAGGAGACGGAGGGAAGTTAGTGAGGGAAGGGCAGATGGAAACGAACTGGAATGCAGCTAAAAAGATCATTATAAAGGTGTTTAAATGACAAAATACATTCACTTGCACTTATTTGAGAATCTGAATATCAGATGATATTAATTCAGCTCCAACTCTAATCAAACACACCTGAAGCAGCTAATCAAGCTTTTACTGTGCATACAAGACACTACAGGCAGGTGTGTTGAGGCGAGCTGGAGCTAAACTCTACAGGACTGAGGCCCTCCAGGACCGAGTTTGGAGACCCCTGACCTGTACAGAGCTGCTGTGGCTGCGGTGTGTCACGTGACAAGCATGACGTGTCGCCATGGAAATAAGATGATACATTCTAAAATAATGGTCTCCTTAAGAACTGCTAGAATATTTGAAACTCACACGTGAAAGGGTTAACATGCATTTGAATGCTTACAAATGTCATTCAACTGGTTGTTTAATATGATTTCTAAAATAATGTTTTTAGAAAATGTGTAAATGTAAAAAAGTGCATTTGATGTTATGTAAATCAATTTGATAATTTCTAAGCATTCAAATGCACATGAATAAAATAGGCTGCTAATCAGTGTATAACATCTGTTAAAATAACTTGTAGATTTTTATAAAGTGCGTGATCAACATTTGTAAGCACTTTAATTTACATCAACCAATGTTCTGTTAATTATTATGTAATGTTCAATAAGTTCATTAGTAAACATTTACAAGCACATTGCCTCACACATGTAGCTCTTTGAATATATATTGACTAATGATCTATTACACAATAACAATGAAAGTTATTATAAAGTGTTACCCATCTGGCAATGTAACATGTCTAAAATTCAGGGGCGTGTCTACAGGTGGACTGGCTTTATATCACTGTAAAAGATCTTTCTGTGTGTCCATTTCTCCTCAGTCCCTCTGTCTCGCCACGCTTTATTTAATACAGCTTTTTCCAGGGAAAGTTGAATATCCAAAGCAATACACTGACATAGACAGTTAAATCTTTATTTGGAATGTATGTCACAAAACATACAAAAATTTGTTTTTTTTCCCCCGCTGCTTTATAATTGTAAAAGTTTCTCAAACGTGTTTAATTTTTATTGCCATTATTTTAAGTACAAAACAATAAACATTTCAGTTCATAACAAAATCAAATACATTTTGCATGAAAGTAGCAAAAGTGTCTTAGTTTAATTAAGTAACTCAATATAAAGATTGTGATTTAATTAGATTACTTATGATGAACTGCAAATGTACTATATAAATAAAAAGTCTTCTAGATATAAGCATGATTAGTGCTACATAGCGAGCAAATCCAATTTCAACAAAGGTTAAACCAGATCTTTGCATTGATCAGTCTTCAACAGCAGCAATGCTGTCCATCATCTAAAACGACACACAGATGCACTGTTTCTCTGTCTTCAGAATCCTGGAGGAACTGTCTTTATTGATTGGGTCCACTGCATTAAATGTTTTATGTTTTTGGCCATATCTGGCGTGTCAGTTGTAGTTGCTTTAATAAGGAAGAAGAGTCCAGTAGCGACTCCCAGCAGCCCCAGAGTTAATCCCACTCCACAGAAGACTGCCGGACCCACGCTGGGCAGGACAGCAGCCGCCTCCGGGACGCCTGGGGATTAGAGTAAGGTGTGTGAACGTTAGAACAGCTTTTCATTGTAGAAATCCACTCAGCTCTTGGTATTTCATTTGTCACAGAATGGTTACTGTTGTTTTTATACATACATCGTTCATGCAAAAAACAACTGGTGATAACAAAATTGATTGTATTTTGATTTAATTAGTAAATGGCTCTTACTCCATATTTTGGTCTGCGGTTGGCCCTGGAGGGCTCGGTGGTTCACTGTGCAGCTGTAAATGTCTCTCTCTTCAGGAGTGATCTTCAGAGAGGAGAACACATGGAAGGTTCCATCGCTCCTCGGTCGGTACTGACTCAGACTCACGCCTTCCGTCACAACGACATTGTTCTTAGTCCATGAGACATTGACAGGTGGAGGAAAGAAGCCTGTCACGTGACAGATGAGCGTGTTTTCAACAGCCAGCTGCACATCGTTCCTTGGATAGATGGACGTCTCAGGGGGTTCTGTGAACATACATAACTGTGTTGAACTTTGCAGTCAGTAGTACATCTGACCTCACTCAAATAAAATCTGTACATAGGAAAACTAATATCATACATATTAAATACAATTGCAAGCCAAAACTCGTACTTAACCAACATATTGATAACACTCCCTCCCTGTGAGCTTAGTTTCGGTTTCATGAACACATCCTCCACGCAGAATTTAACCCTCACTGTGACACTGTATCTACACTGTAAAAACAAACAAGCTGATTCAACAAATAATTTGTAACCGGGCTGCCTTAAAATGTTGTGTTCAAAAAGCTTTAAAAATTATAGTTGTTGACACTTATATTGGAGTTCCTTAAAACTAGAATTAATAGTTGGGGTAACAAAGGTGAAGCTGAAAAAAGCTGAATCAACTTTATACTTTCTCTAACCAATAAGTTTTTAGTTAGCCCAACAAGACAAGAAAGTTGTGCTAACCTAAATCCAAGTTGAAACAACTTAAAATTAGTGAGACCAACAAACATTTACTGATATTGAGTTGTTTAAACTAATCATTTTGTTGAATAAATTTATAATTATATGTTGTGCAAACTAAATAAAAGTTGGTTAAACTAAGCATCTTGTTGAATTAACTTATCTTTTTAAGGCAGCCAGGTTACTTTTTCAAGAATAGTTCATCTTACTTGTTGTCACAATCTCCAGCTGGAGTGCCCATGAACTCCACCAGAGGTCACTCCACCTTTGACTCTTGCCACTCTCACAGACTACATTTACCATAATACATTGCCTGGACTCAGCACCCATTGCAATCACCTGTATCTCATCACCCCATCAGTCTCACCCTATTTAAAGCCTGGTTTTTCACTCATTCATTGCTTAGTCTTGAAAGTGTCACTCTTAGTCCTTGTATTCTGGTTCCTTTGTTGGGGTTTATATATTTGTCTGGTTTCCTGGTCATTCTTATTGTCTAAAGTTTTCTGCCCTGTTTGTATTTGTTTGGACTGACTACCCTGTTTATGACCTTATGCCTGTTTATGGATTACAGTTTTGGATTACCCCTGAAATAAATTGCATTTGGATCCTCAATCTTCGTGTCCCTGTGCAGATCGTGACGCTTGTAATATTAAGTTTATTCAACAGGCTGAACTATGTAATTTGCCCACACAGCTTAAGTTTCTATTTTCTAATAGTACTGCGTAAAAATGGCTCATGGACACTGAAGACCATGCAGAATGCTATTTTATTTGATTTCGAAATTTGACAGTATCCCAATATAGCATTATTGTGTTTAGTATTAAAACACCCTACTTTAAAAAACAAAGAACATTGACATTTCCTATTAACATGTTTCTGTGGAACAATTATCTAAAAAAAAAAACTACTGTAGTACATAACAATAGTTTTGGTAGCTAATTACCTCTTAGATTAACTAAATTTAATGACATACCACATAACCTTTTTAGAACAAATACATTAAACTTTTTCTGTAACTTGGAGAGGCTTTTTGTTTAGTATTCTAACCATGTATTATGTGGAAATGGTGGTGTGATGTTGTGTTCACACAGTAAGAATGTGTGAAACTCTTAACCAACCAACTCTACCATCTGAAACAGTAATCGCTGCTATTAACTTAACCAACTTACCACTACACTTTGTCTTGAAGCAAATTGTTGGGGAGTCCATGAACTTTCGCAGTGGACACATTGAGGGGGACTGTTTGTTATTAATTATAGTAAATATTTTAGAAATAGATCTAAAGATTTATTTCAAAGATTGATGATGGTCTAATATATAATCAAGTATAGTTTTATCTGGCAAAAAGGGAAAGTTAGAAAACTGCTTAAGAATAAAGTTCCATGTCTGAAAGTATCTAAATAAATGGGAGCTGGGTAGGTAAAATTGTTCTTGAAGCTGTGTAAAAGATGCAAAACTGTTATCCGTGTATTGACCTCCATAAAACGTATATTAGATGAGACAAATTCAATCAAATCCTTGTCGGATAGGAGACCTGGATTAAGACGTCACCGACAGTATTTAGGTAGCTGATATGGAATCTGAAGCTCTAATATAATTGGTGCACGATCAGAAATTACAATACTTTGGAAAGAACAGTCCTGTAAGTATGGAAGAAATGTATGGTCCAAAAAGAAATAATCAATGCGAGAATACGTCTGGTGAACATGAGAAAAAAATGAATGCTTCCTTTCAGAGGGATGTAAGTGACGGAATGCATCACATATACCATACTTTTGCATAAATGTGTGGATAACTGAGGCATTTTTATAGAGCTATGGTCTTTTTGGAAGATCAATCAAGAACAGGAGACTTAATGCAATTAAAGTCCCGAGCCAAAATGAGTGGGTGCAAATTTATATTAGGAATACAAGACAGAAAAGAAGAAATAAAAGTAGGATCATCATAATTGGGGGCATAAACATTTGCAATGGTCAAGGGGGTTGAGAAAAGTGTTTCTGATACAATGTGTCTTCCTTTATGATCTACAATAGTATCAGAGGCTACAAATGGGACAGATTTATGCACTAAAATTGCACAGTCTCTAGATTTAGAGTTAAATAATGAATGAAATTCGAACCTGGACGATAAGAAATTGAAGAAAATTAAAGCGACCGAAAAATAAGGGCCACCGAGCCTGCCTAGAATTGAACCTTTTAGCAGAACCGATGTACTCCAGGTTCTTATGGTAGGTCCAGACTATAAAAGGTTCCTCCGAACCCTCCAACCAATGACGCCATTCTTCCAAAGCCAGTTTGATTGCTAGCAACCCCGTCATAATTACATTTGGCAGGAGACAAACGATGAGAAAAATACGCGCATGGGTGCACCTTACCGTCCGCAGAAGAACGCTGGGAAAGAACCGCACCAACCCCCACCTCTGATGCGTCGACCTCCACCACAAACTAACGAGAAGGATCAGGGGCCACCAGAATGGGAGCTGAAACAAAGCAGCCTTTTAGTCTTGAAAATGCAGCTTCCGCCACACCTGACCACCTGAATGTCGTTTTGGTGGATGTAAAGGCAGTCAAAGTGGTGGCTAGTTGACTGTAATTGCGAATGAAACGCCGGTAAAAATTGGCAAAGCCCAGAAACCTCTGCAGGGCCTTGCAGGAATCCTGGGTTGGCCAATCTACCACAGCCTGCACTTTGTCGGAATCCATGCGCACTCCCTCGGACGACACGATGTACCCTAGGAAAGGAACAGATTGTGCATGAAAAACGCATTTCTCCGCCTTGACAAAAAGCCCATTCTCTAGCAGCCTCTGAAGTACTGACTTGACGTGCTGAACATGTTCCTGGAGAGAACGAGAAAAAAAAAATCAATATGTCATCCAGGTAGACATACTGTATATGAACTGATCGACCATGTCTCTCAGTACGTCATTTACCAGTGCTTGGAAAACCGTGGGAGCATTAGAGAGCCCAAACGGCATAACAAGATACTCAAAATGCCCCCTGGAGGTATTAAAAGCAGTCTTCCATTCATCCCCCTCCCTTATGCGAACCAAATGATAGGCATTGCGAAGATCCAACTTAATGAACAAGGAAGCACCCTGCAGACTCTCAAAGGCTGAAGACATCAACGGCAAAGGATGGGTATTCTTCACTGTGATGCTGTTCAGCCCTCGATAGCCAATACAAGGACGAAGGGAACCATCTTTCTTTTACACAAAGAAAAACCCCGTGCCAGCAGGAGAAGAGGGACGGATGATCTTGGCTGCCAAAGAATCAGAAATATATTTCTCCATGGCCTCCCTTTCCGGAACGGAAAGGGAGTATAACCTGCCCTTAGGCGGAGACGTACCTGACAATAACTCTATCGCACAATCATAAGGACGATGCGGAGGAAGAGAAGCAGCCCGAGACTTACTGAACACTCCCTTCAGGTCAAGATACTCAGCAGGCACATTTGACAGATCCACATGTTCATCCTGAAACACAAAACAAGACACAGAAGAACAGGCAGACAACAAACAAGACACATGACAATATTCACTCCAGGATGAGACTGTGTTCTGACGCCAGTTTATATTGGGATTGTGTAATGACAGCCAGGGGTGACCCAAGACCACCAAAGCCAAAGGGGAGTCGGTGATGAGGAAGGAAATGTCTTCCGTGTGGTTACCTGACGTGACGAGCCTCACCAACGGTGTACAATGGGTGATAGGTGAGAGAGACTGCCCGCAGAGTGCACTAACCGAGATGGATCTTTCGAGTGGAACCAACTGAATTTCCAGTTTGTGCGCTGTCTTGCGATCCAGGAAATCTCCCTCAGAACCCGAGTCAAGGAGAGCTCTACAAGGGAATGTGTCCCAACCTAGGAGTAGTTGGACTGAGAGAAGCGTTACTTCAGAGGAGGCTTTCTCCACCGCGACTCCGCCCGCCAGTAACCTCCTAACTACTGACGGGCCTTGGCTTTTACTGGGCAGCATGCAACAACGTGACCCGCAGCACCACAGTACAAACACAGGCCCAGATTTCTGCGTCTCTCCTTCTCCTCCCGTGAAAGACGGGCTCTGCTCACCTGCATAGGCTCGGGACCGGAGAGGTAACCAGAGGAACCTTTCGTCGGGGCGGCGAATTGATCGCCACTACCTGCCGACACCTGTAGAGTTCGCTCGTCACGCTGTCGCAGTCTATTGTCCACTCGAATCGCCAGATCGATCAACCCGTCCAGTGAGGTGGGTAGCTCTAAAGTGTAGATTTCATTGGTGATCCGATCGGCCAGTCCATGCCTAAAAACGTCCCACTGCGCTTCCTGATTCCAATTGCACTCTGTCGCCAAAGTGCGAAACTCGATCGCATAATCAGTCACAGATCGATCTCCCTGGCTTAACTCCGCCAACTCCCGCGCCGCCTCCCTGCCGGACGCCGCCCGATCAAAGACTTTCCTGTGTTCGTCCGAAAAAGACTGGAATGACGAACAACACTGATGCTTCCGCTCCCACACCACTGTTCCCCAGAGCGCCGCACGTCCAGTCAGCAGCGTGATAACAAACGCCACCT